ACTCCACTCCTTATGGCAATCAATGGTCATTATAGGTTTCTAAAGTCCTGGGTCCAAAAATCAAGGGGTGAGAGTAAGAGTGGCTCTAGGATCCACTGAGGAATTTGTGCTATCTGGGGGTCTAGAATCTGTGTGTCTAGAGGTCCTGAGTTCTAGAGGGAGAAAATAAGAGTTGTACTAAGCTTTAAGCTACCACTGCTATGTGGTGACTTTAGGTTCCTAAGGCGAGAAAACTAGGAGGCAAATAAAAGAGTGAGCATACTGACAGAGGTTATCAGCTCTGATCATCATCAGCAGGGAGAGTTACTGAAACATGATGAGGGCACAGAGGAGTAAGTTTGGCCCTCATACGACCCACTGGGTCACCTCTTGGTACACCCAGGTTTAACTGTAAATGGGCAAGTATAGCAACTGCAGTGTACGAAAGGGCAGGGTAACCAGGGTCTCAGACTGCTTGGGGGTAAGGATCTGGATCATTTTACCAGGCAGCTCAGAAGTGCCTGACTAGGATTAAGGGAATCTATCATGGATTAAGAAGAAACTGTGGTTCGTCCCACTGTCCCTCTTTTTGTAGAGTGAATTGTGATAACAGAATCCAGAAGAATCCATACCTGGGCGGAGTGAATCAGTGTGAGAAGCAAGTGGATCTGAGCAGTGCCAGGGGTGAACTGTAGGAGGTGCTGTGGTACCTGCCCAGGTGGGTTTAACTGAGCCACGGCATCCCTCTCTCACTTGCTGTGAATGTTGGTTGCTAATGGCAGTATGCACTTTTTTTTTTTAACACCTAGTTTTTATTCATTCAACATTACAATGGTTTTGTTCTTTCATCCGGTTATATATAGCTGTAATGGAGTTCATTTCTTTTTTGCTGTTCTGTAGTATTTGGTGTTCTCAGTATAACACCATTGACTTTTCTATTCTTCTGTAGATGGATCTTTGAATGGTTAGTGGGTTTTGGTTATTACAAATAATGCCAGAATAATGGGTATTCTTTTATCTGTCTTTGAATGTACACATACATATCTGTTGTGTTTCTACCTAGGAATGAAAGTGTGGGGTCACAAGGGACACATAAGATCTACAATAGTAGATAATGTCAAACTGTTTTCTGAAGTGGTTTGTGTCCTGTTAGGAATTATTTCACAACTCTGTGGGCATGAAGATATTTTTCTATATTATCTTCTGGAAGCTTTATTGCTTTCCTTTTACCTTTAGATCAATAATCAACTTGGAATGAGGTAAAGGTGAAGCGTAATTGTCTTCCGTATGGAAATCAGTTGACCATTTGATTTAAAAAGACTATTTATTTAAAAGATTCCTCTTGGTCTACTGCTCTGCAGCTCAGTATCATGTAGTGTTTCATTTGTTGGATTTTTCTCATGAAAGAGCTTTGGTTCTAGGCAAGTAATTGAACAGTGAACAGTTATTTGGTTGACCCTTTTGTGACAGTAACATTGTCATCTCCACTTTACTAAGGAAACTGAGGCTTACAGAAGTTCATTACTTTAGTGGGCAGGTTCTCCTGAACTAAAATTCTCATTATTCATGCCTTAAATGAAATAGAAGTTATTAACTAATTAATTAACCAGATAACAGTATGGAGCTAGGTGATTCAGGTCTTCATTAGGTGTCCATTTCTGGGTCCAAGACCTTTTTCAGCTCTCATTCACATGTTCTCATTGCAGCTTAGTGGGAGGAGAGGGTGAGCATAGAGATGCATGCTCCTTATTTTAGGGATGTTACTTGGAAATTACACAATTCTACTCATATCCTAGTGGCCAAAGTTCACTTACATAGCCACATCCCAAACCAAGAGAGCCTGGGAGAATGGAGTCTTTAATTTAGGTGGCCAGCATCTTGCCAGAATTTGGGGTCTCTGTTTCTACAGGGAAGAAGGAGAGAATGGATATGGGAGCTGCTAGCCATGGTTGTATATTTGGTTGCGGCACATCTGAGATTCAGACAAAAGCCGGTGTACCTCCAGGCTCTACTGTACAGCCCTCGACAACCAGCCAGACCGTGAATGTTTGCCTCCTTGAAAAGCTTTAGGATACTTTCCTGTCAGAACTGAATTCCTGGATGTCTCTCCAGACATGTATAGAATTCCTTTTATTAGAAAACAAATTTGTTTAACTCAGTGTTTTTTGTTTTTGTTTTTATTTTTGTTTCATTTGTCATGGCTATCAGGAAAACTGAGTTACATTTAGAGATTCCCTGCTATTGTCAAGGAAAATGTTTCCAAAGCCTGCTTTAATCCTTCCACTATTGGGCGCCTGGGTGGCTCAGTCGTTAAGCGTCTGCCTTCGGCTCGGGTCACGATCCCAGGGTCCTCGGATCTAGGCCCGCATCGGGCTCCCTGCTCAGCGGGGAGCCTGCTTCTCCCTCTCCCTCTGCCTGCCGTTCCCCCTGCTTGTACTCTCTCTCTCTGTCAAATAAAAGATAAAAAAATCTTAAAAAAAAAAAAACCCTTCCACTATTGACTTCACTTTCACTTAATTAATTCTTTCCCCCTCCCCATCCCCCTTTGTCTGGCTCGCTGTTCTGTCTTCCCAAAGTTACAGTGCCCTGGTGTTTCCTCTCCATATCCCCACTCCCCCCACACGGTGACGAGGAGGAGTAAGTCCAGGGGGTTGGTGGGGAGGATGAGAGCAAGTGGGGTCACAATGTCTCACTTTTTCATTTTTTTAAAACGTTTATTATTAGTTTTTATTACACAAGGAATACATATTCATTGTAGAAAAATTAGAAAACACAGAAAAGCAAAAAGAAAAATAATCACCCATAACCCCACTACCCATAAATAACTACTATTAACATTGTAGTGTATGTCCTTCTAGCTTCTTATGCATATATATACATACATAGATATATTTATATATAATTTTCTTTTTTACAAATATTGTGTCATACTATACATACTGTTTTATAATGTGTTTTTTTTTCATTTAAGATATATCGTGAACATTGTTGTTTATTCCCTGAAAAAATTATACAGATACTACATGCTTATTGTGGAAAAACCAGAAATTACAGATATGCAAAAAGAAAATATAGTTGCTCCAAATCTCACCTCCCAGAGATAGATGCTGGTAACATTTTAGCAAATATCCTTTCAGACGCTGTAAAGCACATATGTATATGTATACTTTTAAAATGGAAACATACTATATTCTTCTGTAACTTCCTTTTTCATTTAACAATATAGCTGTTTATTTCAATAAGTATACATCTAGTGCTTACTCTTAATTGGTGCACAGTATTCCATTGAAAGGATCTACCATATTTAACCAACCCTATATTGTAGGCTTACTTATATTTTTTCCATTCCTCCAACTAATGCTCCTATAAACATCCTTTTTTTCATGTTTTTTGAATAATGAATGAAAGTATCTTAGTTCATATTTCTTGACTTTTTTTGAGAAGAATTTCCCTAAAGTGGAAGTATTTGGCATACACAAAAAATATATTGCCAGAATATTTTCCAGAAAGATTGGATCAGTTTACACCCTTGTTGACTCTGTAAGAGAATGTTGATTTCCATACTTCCTTGTTGTCCTTGGGAACTATAATTCTTTATACCCTTTGTCCTTCTGATACATAAAAAGGAGTATATTATAATAATTTGCATTTTTGATTACTAGTTAAGTATTTTCATATTTATTATTAGTTCATTACTTTAATTTATGGTACACTGCCAGTTTGTATCCTTGGCTCAATTTTCTACTGGGAAGTTTGATTCTTTTTGATCATAAAATGTTATTTATTCATGCATTCATTATTCACTCACACAATAAATATGTTTTCAGTATTTGCTTTGTGTCTAGCACTGTGTTGAGTATTGAGGATATAACAGTAAGCGAAATAGACATGGTTGCTGCTTTCTTGAACTTCCAATTTAGTGAAGATGAACAGAAAAACAAGCAATAATTTTAAAAGTGCAATGAGGAAACAATGAAATGGGAACAGTTGGTTGGGAAGGTTGTAGATCATAGAAACTTCCCAAGAGTAATGGAGTTTAAGCTCTTGATATATATTAGAGATCCATGCTCTTTGTTGCATATATTTCAAATTTTGTTTTCTCTTAATTTGGTTAGTTATTTTTTACCATATAAGAGTTCCATGTTTTTAATTGGTCAAATATATCCATCTTTTTCTTTTTGGTTTCTTCCTTTGTTGTCCTGCTTAGAAAGGCTTTTTTTTTTTTAATGGTAAAATCACGTAAATTTTGTCAATATTGTCTGCTAGTCCTTTTATATGCTTATGTGCTTTAACATCTAAATCTTAACTTCACCTAGAATTTCTTTTGATGGAAGTTATGAGGTATAGATCTAGTATTTCCCCCAATAAATGGCCAACTAGTCATCCCAAGTTATTTAGTAATCCAACCCTTTTTCACAGATTTGAAATACCATCTTTATATTGCTTCTATGTTCTTGGGTTTATTTCTGGTCTTTATATTTAATTATAATGATTTATTATGGGTCTATAGCATCACTGGTTTTTCTCATCCTATCTCTAGTTATCTGAAAGCTGAGCATTTTGCATCTGGTGACGTTCTAGAACACAAAGAAATGATAGCGCTTAGGTTTATGCGTGTGGCATGAGAAGTGAGTCTGGATGATACTCTTAATCCTTTCCACTTTGAGACTTCCAGAATCTGAATTCCCTATGGGATATTGTTCATCTGGCCCACTGTTTGCTGTCTAAAATAAATGAGAAGCTTTTATAGCCTGTGCATTTATTTTCCCTTCTTGTTCTGAAGCTCGGCATTCGGTAGGTGGCAGTATTGCCATATAGTCAGTATCCAACAGTTAGAGGCGCACCGAGGAACAAAATCATCTGGTAGGATTTTAGAATTTCCCAAGAGCTTTCATGAGAGGAGGCATCAGGGCTGTGCTACTTCTAAAGTCTTCTTTGTACCCTTGAACAATGGCTCAACCAGAAGTTTGAGCTGATCTGCTCCTAGAGGAGTGCAAAAACATCAGCAGACAGATATTTTAAAGTGATACCTCGGCCCTGTGGGCATTCACTCACATACCTTATCCACAGTGCCTTTGGGCCCAGCCACTGACTGACTTAAAGCCTGGAAATGTGGTCTTAAACAATATGATTGTGGTGGGATTCAGCTGATTTTTATTTTCTTTATACTTGGTGGTATGTTTCCGATTTCCCACAAAGAACATATATTGCCTCTGTAATCTGAAAAAAAGACAAGGATGAATGAACATGGGATATCAAAATTATGGTGGTAAAATGGGTGAAGGTGTGCCAGAAAAAGTTGACATCCTTTTCCAGTTTCTGCATGTGAGTACATGCAACGGAATAGGTTCAGTGTTCTCACCTTACCCCTGGGGATCAGCTCAGGGTTATTGCTAATCTGAAAGCGAATTACCAGCAGAAGGCCAAGACAGTAGACTTCTATCTCATGGACTACACCTGAGAAAGTCCTTTGGTAGGTGAGAGGAGAGTGGGGTCAGCTCCTAAAGAGATGCATTGGCATATCTAATGGGAGATGGTGAGTTATCTATTGCCATTATGAGCCAGTGTAGGTCATCACGACTTGGAGCACTAAATTTCACTTTAGGACCTGCTAGTGAAAGAAGATCTATAAATCTTGGAGTGTGTCCACAGGAACTATAAAACCAATCAAAGTCTGGGAAACAGGTACTATGAATAAAAGATAAGGTGGCTGAATTTATTTACCTTAGATATGGAAAGCCTAGCTGGGGAATTAGACAAATTCCCATCCCCATGAATAGCTACTATAGCCCTCCCAGACCTGGAGGTGAGACCTGAATTTATTAACAGTCTTCAGTTTGTACAAAGGACAATGGCACAGGAGGTAAGTGTTCCTTTCATACCGGACTAAGGCGAGAGTGAGCACAAATGAACCAAGCAGAAGTGATTTAGATCAAGCATTTAGAGGAACGTGCTGAACACCAAGGTTGGGTTTATCGGTTAATAACTTCTCATGAATTAATAGGAACTAGATTGAAGCTAAGGGTTCAGTATAGTGGAAAGGTGGGTGAGGGCAAAGGCAGGAGCCGAGAGCGGGCCCAACTGGGCTATTTTATAATCTCTTAAAAAAAAGGGATCTTAAGTGAATTAACCACACGGGATGAAATGAACCATATTCAAAAAAGATATTAAACTTTTGTCAAACCTGATTTGTGAAATCAGGGTTTGCAGACCAGATAAATCTGGGAGTGGTTACCTGCTTTGCAAGGGGGTATTCATTCTAAGAGTCTCTAAATAGCATATTCCAACAACCGTTTTCCAAATATTTGATTTAGAAAGTTGTGATTTTCTCATATAACTTTCAAGGATACCTCTTTATATGAAGTCAGGCATACCTGTAATCATGTGTTAATTACCAGTTCATTGGAACACAACTCTGGACTCCCAAGAATAAGGCCCAAACCCAGCTGGTATGATCTAAATAGAGACCTGCACAGCCTTTTGAGATCTCTTCCAACCCTCTAATTCTTTCGCTTTCAATCACAAAAGCTAGAAGATAATTCCAAGTTTAATTTTCACAACATCAGATATTAGGTTGAACCATATGAAATTGACATTTTTGTAGGTCAAAACCGTCAAATACCAGCAATCTCATATAGGTCAATCTAATACAAGAATTATTCCAGTAGTTCATATAACCTATCTTCATCTTCACTAAAGCTAACAGCTTTAATATATTTAGTTGTTGGGTCAAGATATTGGACATATAAATGCCTATGCACATAGGGACTGAGAAAGTATAGGGTTGGGATTAAAGATGCATCTTGGCTAAACCACTGTTTGGCATCTAGCTCATCCTTTTATTGGACTAGACACTGGTGCCTCTTGTCTGACTTGAGGATTCCTCAGATTTTGGAAAGCAAGAAAGGAAGTCCAAAGGCCTGATCTCTCAACCCATGGGAAATTCTGTTTGGGTAATGGGCCAAGGAAGAACAGGGTAAAATACAACAAAATTTGTACCATGTTACAAGTTTAGTGAGGAAGTTCATAACAGAGCTGTGAGCAGAAAAACAAAGCGTGTGGCTTCCTCCTTTCTAAAATATAGTATTGCTTAATGTGTCCTGCTTTCAAGATCCTAAGCGTAAGACAAGACACCAAGTACACATTGGAAAAGTCTTATATGCATAGTCATCTAAAATGAGACAAGCTTAGCTTAACTAAAAAGATTTTATTAACATAAAATGTTAAATATTTTTACGATCTGAGCTAATTCCAGCATGCCCTATAAGATTTAACACTATGCTGATGCGCAGACATCATGCTTCAGATTTCAATTAGAACAAAATATGATAATATTCAATTTTACATTTGAGGGTAATTGTATATGTTACTACACCATTTTCTAACTGGATTACTTCATTCTCCAAGAAGCTGAAAAAGACACCATTGGATCAAAAGGCAATTAGTTGCCCATATGCATTGTACGAAGGTATTAGGATTATTGTGTATTTACAAAATTTAAATACGTTTCATATATGGTTTTTGTTGCATTATAAATTAAGATATCTTTATGTAGAAGCTCTTGGATTCTGACAGAATGGAAGACTAAATGTAAATGGGTGCAGACAAAGCAACAGGTGAGGTGGTATATGTTTGATTATAGTATTATTTCTAATAATATTGATAGATTGGAGTTTTGAACACAGTTTTGCAGTTTTAGATAGATTTCTATGTTTAAAGACTCTCATATATGATAAATTGTTCACATGAGATCAGCAAGAGCTAAAGATACACTATTATACATGAAATAATTTTTCTCTGTATAATACATTTAAAAAAACTTTTAAATAATTTAAAAACCATAATTCTTGCATCTGTCATGGTATGGTTTGGAGCAGACATGCACAATGTCAGCTTTAAAAATCCTTTTAAAAACAGCCTGCTTTGTGAATCTTTTTTTTTTTTTTTTCCCTTGACGGCAGCTGCTTTCAAATGTAAAATCATTTAAAAGGGTAGGGGGAGGCGAATAAAAGTAATAAGGAAGCATAGAAAACATAGTCAAAAACCAATAATTGTAGTTCAGCTGTCTGGAGGTCCTCAGGTTCTGTGATATTTTCAGGTCTTCGCAATGGTGGGTTTCCAGGAGGAGTTGCCTAGCTTGAGACCAGACAACACAGCCCAAAGAACCTTCTCTTCCGTCTTCTAACCAAGGGGTAGGGAGTTAGATTTAGAAGGCTGCTGTCATCTGTGATGGGACAGAATGTACATATGAATGAATTACAGATAAAATAACCTGGGTTTTATGAATTGGCTTTAAAAATCCACCATCTTTTGAATCAAGGTTTCTTGACTTCAGCACTACTGGCCATTTCGGACCAGATAATTCTTTGCTGTTGGGGCTGTCCTGAGCACTGTAGCATATTGAGCAGCATCCCTGGTCCTACAGTGCTCTACCAGTTGTGACAACCAAAAATGTCCCCAGATAGTGACAAAATGTTCTTTTTTTTGTTGGGGGGAGGGGCACATAGCCTGCAGTTGAGAACCACGGCTTAGAATTAAATGTAAGCTGCTTGGAGGCGCTCTTTCAGTTGGGGGAAGGGTAGCTTTTTAGCAAGAGCCCCTGCTTTGGAGTAAGGTTGGCCTCTTTTCTAAACCGACCTCTGCTATTTCCTAGCTCTGTGACTTTGAAAATGTAACTGGAAGCTTGCTAAGCTTGTTTTCCCGTCTGTAAAACAGGGTTTAATAATACTTACCTTAGATGAAGATTATATGAAATAATCTATGAAAAACATGAAGCTTGGCTGGTATCCTACGTGCCTAGCACAGAGGAAGCACTCAGTAAATATAGCTATTATTGACTATTTTCCTTTACAGAGGACTCTTGTCTTGCTTCCACTCACCTACTTTATGCCACGGGAAGAAGTTTCTCAACTACTCCTTGTTGAGTCTTTGCCTACCAATTTCTACAGATTTCTGTACACAAGGGCATTCTGAGAAGATTTCCAGCTGTTGAATTTATAAGTTTTGAGTTGAAATTTTTAGCACGATGACAAGGAGAGGAAGAAATAAACCAGTAAGCCAAATTCAGTTTAGGGAGCTGGGTTTTAAAGAAATAGTGCAGCCCAAAAGAGAGGTTGGGTAGAAATAGCCTGTTGCAGCAGAACCGGCAGTCTGGTCCTAGAGGCTGGAGAGGGACCACAAGGACATGCCCTGGAAATTGCCAGTGAGGGCAACACTTGGATATGATCAGAATGGAGCGAGGCACCACAAAATGGTCGGTTGGCTCTGGTAACTGTTATGCATCTAAGCTTTTGCCAGCCCAGAGCAGAGCTAAGGGGCTCCCTCCTTTCCCCATCCTAACCTGGAGGATACAGGACCTTGGGAAAGAGCCCAGAATCAGGAACTGGATGAAGGGCTGGATAAAGTGAAAGATGTGCCCCACTTCAAGAAAACTCGTTTGTAGATGAGGGTGGGTTTTCTTGATTACTGAGTCTGGACGCTCAGTAAACTCTCAAGAACAAAAACAAGTTCTGGCTTCCCAGTCCTCTTACATCAATTGTGTCCTCCGAGTGGTCTGGGCTTTTCCTCCCCTTCCCCAAAGGCTGCCATGTGTCATACTTACTTGTAAATTAGCCTCCCTCACCAAGTGGACAGTGTTGCTTGGAATGGTCCCCATTGCTATACATTTAGATAGAATCAGAGTAGCAAGTCAGAGTCAGGGAAGAAAGCAGGTGCCCCAGCTGAGCACATCAAATTAATCAAACACAGGGCACTCTCCCGGTCTCCACAGATTAATATTCTCTCTTAAGATTCATATTCCACAAATGTGGAGAAAAACAGGACGCTCTTTGTCCTTTCTGTGATGAAAAGCATTTCACTATACTCTGGATGTCAACATTTTGAGACTAAAAATAGGACATCTCTCTTTTATACTTAAACCTGCCCCAAATAGTTAAGACTTGGAAAGCAATGTCAAACACTATCTGTGAGCCTCATTTCTCAGGAGAATCTCTCAGAGATGAATCATGGTCTATTTAGAACAGAAAGAAATGATACACTGTCTCATCAGTTTTAGGACCCTTACTTTTTTAATCACCAAGTGACCAACAAACTTAACCTAACTGGAGATGGCAAAGGTACAGCAGACCCTGAAGAGTAAAGAATTTCAGCTTTTGGTATCTCTTTGGATGCTGACTATACTTCCTGAAACACAAGTTCCCCAGGAATTCAATGGTTCCTTGAAGAGAATCACCAAAACTATGAAGATATTTATAGGGAAGAAAAATCTCCTTATTTCCATTTAAGACTTGGAAGATCTATTTCCTGAATGCCCATATATCCTTCCCTTTCTCCAAACATTTAAGAGATTTGGGGAGTGACTGAATGGGTATTTATATCTTGTAAAATGCAATGCTGATGTGTATTGTTCCCACTACATGAGGAAATGTCTATTACATGTTGTATTTACAAAGAAGCTGTATATGCGTACGCTGTGGTGGGATGTTTGCTCCCATGGACTCTTTTTTATGTATGAAGAGCACACAGGTATTATGGGATTCATATCGACTGACCTTTGTATCTGTGTATTCATTACCGTGAATCAAAAAACCTTTTGTGCTATTGAAATTCTCACTCAGCCTTCTTTTCATATCTCTACCTATCCCTATATAGCTAGATAGATATACACATATACATTCACTTGTGAGTGCTACACACACACACACACACACACACACACAGAGCATTCACATGAATAGGAAGTGTTAGAATTGATGAGAAGGTGCTCAGATGTTAAGCAAAGAATGGGCTGCCTATTAAGGATGACTGCTGGTTTGGGGCATCTCTGTTGAGCATTTGTGACACATTTGCCTAGCTTATCTGATCATCACCTAGGGTTGAGGAGACACAAAAGCTCAAAAATTCTTGGCAGAAATTCAGAGCAGCTTTCTACACCCTAGGAAGCTGACACCAGCAGTAAATGCTGAAATTCACCAGCAGTAAGTACGCCTGGAATGGTTTGGAGTGAATTCAACTCCAAGGAAAGATGTCTTTCCACATTGATTGAAATCCTGTCTCTGAAATTACGGGTTGCCAAAAGACTATGAACAAAATGGAATGCTTCCCCCACTCGTTCTCAGCTTTCTGGGCTAATTCACCTGACCTTGCTGGGAAACCTTCGATTTTTATTGTGAATGTTTGAGACTTTTATAGCATCTTTTCCCCAAAGCGCATGTTCTGAGACAGCTGTAACCAAGGACAGTTTTAGATGTGAAAATGAAAAGTGGAGAAAGGGAAAGGGAGGGGAGAAAGCAGAGTAGAAAGTGAAAGAAAAGGAGAATATGCAATTTGGCCATCAGCAAGTTCAAATCTTGGTCATTTGAAGCTTAATTCCTGGATAGTACTAAAGCTAGGGACACCAGAATCCCCTAAGGCACAATGATACCATTTCTCTGTTGCTCAAATTTCTTTTGCTGATACAAGATTTCTTATATGGATGATGTGTTAAGAAACAGAAGGACATAAAAATAAGAAGTTTTCAAATAATCAACTGAGATTTGAGTTTCAAGCTATGTTCTCAGATAGAATCAAGAGAAGTGCTCATAATGTAACTGTAGTTGCAAATTTCTATTCCAGAAAAAAAAAAAGGAGACCTTCAGCTAACCCAGTGGTTCTCAAACATTAGCTGTATTAAGCATCATCTGAAGGTGTGTTAAACTACAGATCGCTGGCCCTCCTTCCAGAGTTTCTGAATCAATAGATCTGGGGTGGGGCTGGAGAATTTAGATTTCTTACAAGTTCCCAGAAATGCTTATGTTGCTGGTCCTGAGGCCACACTCTGAGAAGCCCTGCATTAATCAAAGGCCTTCTAAGGGTAGGTTCCATGTTGGGTGCTGGGCATTATACCTGATGGGTCCTAATACAAAGGTAGTTCTCCATCCCAAGGATGTTTGCTTGAGTAACTATGAAGCTTCATTTAAATGCCATAAGAGAGATACAGATACAATGCTATGAGAATTCCAAAGAGGGGAATTACTCCCAAGCGGAGAAAGAAGAAGGTAACCACGGAAAATCATGGAGGTCTTGGTATTTGTGCTGGGCCACAAGGGATGAGGAGAACTTGTACATTTGATGAAGGGGGAGATGGGCTTTCTAGATGGAGAGAACAGTGTGAACAAAGTCAAGGAGCTCAGAGGCAACTTAGATTTGGGTCCCAGTAAACAGTCCAGTCCGGAATGAAGGGTGGACTGAAAGGTGTATGAGGGAGGGAATAGTACAAAAGAGAAATACACAGAATTCTCTAAATATGACTTCTCTTGCCTCTCCAGCTTTACACATGCCATTCCTTTTTCCAGAAAAGTCCTCCCTTCTTAAACAAATGCCAATCCCTCCAAGATTAACTTATAACTCTCTTTGACTTATTTCATAATGTTCTTCTGATTTTCTTCTCAGTCCCCTTTGTAAACTGCAGTTCTTTCCCCTCAAAACTTAAACTGTGGTATTCCAGGGCTCTTCTCTATGCACACACTCCTTGAGTGGTGTCAACCATTCTTAAGGCTTCCATTACCATTATGCCGATGATGTTTAAATATGTATTTCCAGCCTCCCAGTTCACACATCTCACCTCAGCATAAGACTTGTACACCTGCTATTCACCACTGAACATTGCTCTTGGAGTCCCTCCATCTCCAAAACTTCAACTGTCTTCTAACTCTACTGCTCCTCCTCTGTTCTCTCTGACTTAGTGAATAGACACCAGCATTCACCCTGCTTTCCAAGTCGGAACCTGGGTTTCATCCTTGATTCTGCCTTTTCTCTTATGCAGCCCATCTAATTGTTCATATTCTCTTCCCCAATCCCCTGGCTTTCGGTCAGACCTTAAGCGTTTCTCATCTGGTTTATTGCAACTGCCTCTTAATTGAATCCCTCCAATGGCTTCAGAATAAAGTCCAAACCTTTTAACATGAATTATAGGGGTCTTAATGATATAGGCCCACCTACTTCTCTAGTCTTTCATGCCTCTTTTCTAACCACTTTCCCAACGAATGAAGTGCTTGTAGTTCATCAAAGTGCCCTGCTCTTTCATCTCCTCATATACCTTCAATATCCAGAATCTTCTGCCTAGACTCTCTTTTTTCCCCCACCTCTTTTTTCTTTTTCTTTTTTTCATCTCTTTCTTTGGCTAACTCTGATTCATCCTCAGAAATAGCTCACTTTCCAAAAAGCAATTCTCAATACCAGCAACCC